AATTAACCAAACTTAGGTTCACATCCTGGACTCACTGTTAGTTTTACGATCTGGGCCAAATTTACTTCATCTCCATATGATTTATTTTCTACATATACATGTAGTGATCATAATACCTAATGAGGTGAGATTTAAATAAGATAATGAGTGTAAACATTCAGCACAATACCTGGCACCTAATAAATACTTTAAAAATAGTAGTTTTTATCCTCTTCTTAAATACTGGCCTTGTCCCTGTTGAGCAAAGCCTTCATGTCATGTGTCATTCCTTATGTATACATCTCAAGGTTGGCTACTTTTGACATAGTATATACCCAGATTCCATCAACTACAACAAGAATGGTAGGTTCCTTGGACCACTTTCAATAAAATGAAATTATGGACTCATAAGTCTTTAGATCTGCTTCTTCTTAATGTAAAGGTTTTCACTTTCATCCAATGGTAAGCTCTATCAGTTTGCTTCCTTTTCCATCGTATTCAACACGTGCCAAGGTTCTACACTCAAGGAAGTCAGAAACATACATATGGTATATTTTTACAGAATGTGCTATACAAAATCAACTTCTCTTCAGATTTAAGGAAGCCCAACATCCAGCACTTCTCTTTTCAGACCAAGTTTTGAGTTGCCTAAGATCTAAGAAAAAAGAGCAAGGCATCCTGGAAACGAAGTATCACCTTTATTTATTGAAAAAGCTGATATTGAAGAATGTGATTTACATATGCCAACTTCTTGATATTGACCACAGAATTAGACAAATCAACCTACCCAGTCAAAGACCTAGGTGGAACCGTGAGCCCTAACATGATACAATACTAATCGTGTTGGAAGAACACAGATCTGTACTTCAATGAGAGTTGCCCTTGTCATTATAAAGATGCTTGATTTACTCAATTAAAATGAGTGACTTTAGTGTCATGAATAACATTAATTGCATGGCTTGTTATTTTGTAGGCTGAAGAGTAATTTCTCCAATTCTGACATAAAAAGACTTGAATCCCTTGAAATTTGATTTCCATCATCCCTGAAAAAATGTACAAGAAAAGTACAATTTATTATGGGGATAAAAGTATAGACCCTTCCCCTAATGCAAGCAAGTACCTTTCCCCTTGAATAAATAAAAGAAGCAGAATTAAAAAACAAAACAAAAATCGGTCTATTTTGTAGAGTCTTTGAGGAAACATTTTTACTTCTTCCTTCCTTCCTTCCTTCCTTTTTCCTTCCCTCTCTTCATCTGTCACTCCACCACCCCCCATACCTCCATTCCCTCATCTTTACATCCCTCCTTTCTTTTCTTTCTCTAAGGACTGTGATTATAACTAAATGGCCTCATGTTGAAAAGGTGCCAAGTTATCTAACACTGATTCCCCTAAGAGAACATGTAAAACTGCTAGTAACTTGTTTGCAAGGGTAGGAGGGGTGGAAAGTGTAAGCTTAAAGCTTCCTGCTAGCTGCAGCTTGCTTTCTTAGGGGAAAGGTGTTTCAGAGTTCCAAAAGGTATTGTGCACCTGCCGGTGTATGTTGGCCCAATGAACCAACTCTCACGCTCAATTACGACACTTTGAAAGGAAGCCTCAAAGTTCTGTCTCACCTCCTACATGGAGTGGTTGGAGCTTGTTTGCTGCTGAGCTTTTTCTCTTGTTGTGAGAACCACATGGTCTGGCAGGAAGGCATCAGCGTGGAGACGATGCCACAGGTAGGTGGAATTCCTGCCCCCTGGTCCCATTATCATTTCATGTGTTCAACTCATTTTAGAGTCTTAGGACTATCAAAGCTTATCTTGTTTAGTTGATCATTCTTTATTACCCCTTGTCCCCACAAAAGGGGAGTGCCAGAGATATAATAGTTAAAATGCTTAATTACTAATTGAAATATCAGCAATTGGAACCCACCAGCCACTCCACTACAGCTTCCAGTATGGCTTACACCTCAATGTAAAGAAAATGAAAAACCTCACAACTGGACCAATAAATAACATCATGACAAATGGAGAAAAGATTGAAATTGGCTAATACTTCATTTTGCTTGGATCTCTAATCAATGTTCATGGAAACAAATGACATATTGCATTAGGCAATCTGCTAACAACAACAACAAATCTGTTACAAAAAACCTCTTTAGAATGTTAAAGAGCAAAGGTGTTGCTTTGAGGATTAAGGTGCCCTGACCCAAGCCATTGCATTTGCAATACCATCATATGCATGTGAAATAAGGAAGATCTTAGAAGAACCAATGCATTTCAGTTATGGTGTTTACAAAGTATATATGGAAAATACTAGAAAACTGACTCCACATGGTACTCCACCCCCACTGCCCTCCACCCCAGACATTTCACATTCTTTTCCTAACTTTTTTCCTCCCCCAATTCTGAGCACTAATGTGTCTTTTATTTTATCTTATTCATCATTTCTCCTCTATGTAGAAGGCAGAGATTTTCACCTTTTGTCTTCATTGCTGTAGTATGGACAACAACAATAACAGTGGCATAGCCAGTGGCCATTGAATAGACACTGACTCGTGGTGACCTCCTAGTTGTCAAAGCAGAGCTCTGCTCCACAGGGTTTACAACGGCTCATTTTTCAGAAGTAGATTTCCTGCAGTGGCGATGTTAGATCAGTACTGGACTTCAAACCACAAGGTCAGCAGTTCAAACCCACAAGCTGCTCCTCGGAAACCCTATACAGGGTCGCTATGAGTTGGAAACAACTCAATGGCACTTAACAACAACAACAACAACAGATCTCCTGGGCTCACTCAAGCCTCCAATCTTTTGGATAGCATTTGAGTTAAGCATTTGCACTACCTCGGGATTCCATCACTAACAACAACTCTAATATTTATTGTGAACTTATTATGTGCCAGTCACTTTATGAAGATTATCTCATTTAAAACCCACAACAATTCCATGAAATAGTTATTGTCAGTCTGTTCATTCTATAGGTAGGAAAACTGAGTGTAGAGAAATTAACTGGCTGGTCCTAAGTAGAAAGTGACAAAGGTGGGACCTTTAGCCCAGAAGCAATGCCTGAATCATTAACCAGCCTCTGCCACCTTCCAAACTCCTGGTGTGGCTTTGTAGGATCAGCGCTGGATTGCGAACCCCAAGATAGGCAGTTTAAAATCACCAGCTGCTCCTCAGAAACCCCACACAGGTTCACTGTGAGTCAGAATTGACCCGGACAGCACTTAACAACAACTGCTACCTCCCAGCAGGGAATTCTTGGGGTGGGGGTAAGTCAGGGGAGGAGTCTGGGGTCAACAGAGCCTGAAGTGGAAGACAAGGCACTTTTCATTGTGTTCCAAAGGCAGATCCTCTCTCCTTGTGACACAGACCTACTCATACCTGAAGGCTACAAGTCACACGGGTGGGCAGAGCCATGGCTGAATGCTGCTTGCATGGGCCCTGGGAAGCTGCCGATCTGTCATTTCAGTCCCTCTTTCACCTGCTCACATTGCAGCATAATCCTACAAAGGAAGACAAGGATCATGCCTATTCTTAGCTCTAAATAAGTGAGTAACAGCGACAATACTAGTGGTGAGGGAGGCGCAGACCATGCCGGGTGACACTGGCAAAGGAGGTGACACCAAAATTACTGTCTAGGGTAAGATTTCTACAGAAATGGCTTCTTGGAATCTTTATATCATTATACAGATGGGAGAGGTGAGGCTCAGGTTAGCTTACCCAAAGTCACATAGATGATAAGAGGCAGAAATGGAGGTAGTGAGAGGGCAAGTTTTGTCTCTATTTGCACTCATTTGAGGTGCACCATACTATGGAGTCCTGGTGTGGCGCTCTGAGCTAATGTGTCAGACTGCAAAACCGTTTGAACTGCAAGGTTGGTGGTTCAAGCTCACCAGCTGCTCTTTGGAAACCCTATACAGGGTTGTTATGGGTTGGAATCCACTCGACGGCACTTAACAACAACAACATACTATGGAGGAGTCCTGGTGTGGTGCTGTGGGTTAATGTGCCAGACTGAAAAGCCATTTGAACTGCAAGGTTGGCAGTTCAAGCTCACCAGATGCTCCTTGGAAACCTTATACAGGGTTGCTATGGGTTGGAATTGACTTGACGGCACTTGACAACAACAACAACAACAACATACTATGGAAGGATTTGTGGTGTGGTGCTATGGATTAATGCGCCAGACTGCAAAGTTGTTAGAACTGCAATGTCAGCGGTTCAAGCTCACCAGCTGCTCCTTGGAATCGACTCCTTGGAGTCGGAATCGACTTGACCACACTTGACAACAAGAACAACAACATACTATGGAAACTGTGTCTCCCCCATGTCCTGAAAGGCTGAGAGTATAGTCCTGCTCATTCATCCTCAACAGCAAATATTGATTACCTACTTTGTCTCATGGGCATGTTATCAGGAAGGACCAGTCCCTAGAGAAGAACATTATGCGTAGGAAAGTAGACAGTCAGCGAATAAGAGGAAGACCTTCAATGAAATGTAGTGACACAGTGAGCACATCAATGGCTCTAAGATGGCAACAATTGGAAGACACAGGACTGAGCAGGAGTTCATTTGGCTGCACATACACAGGTCACTCTGAGTTGTAACCGACTCGACAACACCTTCCAACACAATGACAACTATGTGTTAAGCATTGTTAAGTTCTGGGATCAGAGTAGTGAGCACAACAGACAAAAATCTCTATCCCCATGAAGCCTAAATTCTACAAGGAGGAAAAAGCAATGGGCAATATTAAAGAAATAAACCCACTCCTCACTTATCTACATTGTTAAGTTCCAAAAATGCGAAAATCGGCCTGATGTGGAAATGGAGAACAACGACATCACCTCACCCTCTCACCTGTACTGTGAACATCTCTCAGGGCCCCTGTCTTCTAGAACCAGGGTGGCCCAAGCACTCTTCCCCTCCTCTTCCCACGTTATCCTCCCCTCTCCTGTCCTCACCATAGTTTCAGCCAAGGCTCATCTCTTCAACAACCCAAAACACCTTTAGTGTCTTTATTGGGGACAGGGGACTCACTGCCTGTAAGTAGGAAGGGGTAAACACTGCCTGCCGGATCCCCTGTTGGCCCTTACTGACAGTCCTTCCTTCTTCTGCCCCCATGTTCCCATGAGAACTAATATCCAGAGCATCTTCTGAGGCCCTGAAGGTCAGGCCTGCCTCTGCCCTTGACCTTAACTACAGCTGCTATTTTCCACCTGCTAACCCCCACACCTGCCCAGATAGCTGATGACCCAGAAGCTTGGGGAGATGATTCTATCTCTACCTTCCTGGGTAGTAAAACAGTATGCAATATGAGATTCTTTTGTGGTGCTGTAGTATTACCAATGGACTGCTACCTACAAGGTCAGTGGTTCAAACCCACCATCTGTTCCTTGGAAACCCTATACAGGGTTGCTATGAGGCAGAACTGACTTAATGGCATTTAACAACAACAAGCTTATGTACACATGGGGTACACCAGTCGGGGACCCCATCACAGACCTCAATGTTTATTTCTGCCAGATGTTCATTGCTAATGCACAAAATAGGTGGAGAGCATGTTAACTAACAAGTGTAAAAACTAAATGAAACCATTCTCCCATGGCCTTCTCTGCTCCACTGGGCTCAATAATCCATTGAATTGGCCACACAGAACTCAGACACCGTACTCACAGTTGAGGGGCTTATTAGGGAAGTTAACAGGTTACAATTTGGGGTCAGAAATGTTCAGGGCACAGCTGTTCCAGTCAGCTGCAGATAAATGCATATAGGGCACGTAATTTCACCATAAGCCTCCGCCTGAAGACACTCAGTTCTTGCTCTGTGAGTCAACAAAGCTAGTCCCCTCACTTAAGTGCCTGGATGTGCCCCACTCTTTAAGCAAACTTCCTGCCCAAAGTCACTCAGCTTTACTTGCTTTGTGGTTTTTGGTTCTACTGTGGCTGTTCCTCTGCCACTCCTCTGATGTCACAGCTTTATTGTCCCTGGATCAAAGATGTTCAATGCACAGGGACCTTGGGGTTCAAAGGACATGCTCCACTCATGACTCTTCTTCTTTGATGGTAGTAAGATCTCCCTTCTACTTCTGATGTGGCTCATTATAAACCCATATTAGAGTTACAAGTTTTTACAATTAAAATGAACTCTGCTAACATCCACAGATGAATCATGTCATCCTATCTGTATCTTCTCCCACTTTCTTTTACCCAGACCCCATGGGGCAGAAACGTTTGGTGGGAATTACAAACTAAGGCTCAAAGACACATTAGATAATTCACTACACCACAACAAGATAGTGGATAAATGAGGAGTTAGATGTTGTGGAGTTGGTTCTGACTCATAGCAATTCTGTGGACAATAGAACTAAACAATGCCCAGTCCTTCACCACCCTCAAAAGCATTCCCATGTTTGAGCCCATTGTTGTATGCACACACACATACACACAAGGTGCTTCAAAATGTCATTATCTTTTAGTTCTATTTTTACATAAACTTTTGAAAGCCCCTCAGATAGATAGATGACAGATAGATGGATGGATGGATAGATAGATAGATCACAAATAGATGGATGAATGGGTAGATAGATCACAAATGGATGGATGGGTAGATAGAGAGCTAGAGAGCAAGAGAGCTAGAGAGCTAGAGAGCTAGAGGGCTAGCTAGCTAGCTAGATAATCTGGTGCTAACCAAAAGGTTATCCGTTCCAATTCACTCAGAGCTTCACAAGAGAAAAACTTGGTGATCTGCTCTGTAAAGACTACAATCAAGGAAGCCCTATGGGGCAGTTCAACTCTGTCACATGGGGTCACTATGAGTTAGAATTGACTCAACAGCACCCAATAATAATACATATTGTTGTTGTTGTTAAGTGCTGTTGAGTCAGTTCCAACTCATAGCGACCCTATATAGGGTTTCCGAGGAACGGCTGATAGGTATGAACTACCGACTTTGTGGTTCGAAGCCCTGTGCTGATATACTGTATTAGTCATGATAAATGCTGACGGTGGTAGGGAGGGATAAAGCCAGGAAGAGAATGGGAAATGTTGACTGGCGAGGAGGATGTGATGTTTTCTACAAAGTAGCCAGGGAAGTCCTCATTGCAAAGGTGACTTTTGATTAAAGACCTGAAAGCAATGAGGATCGCGATTGGTGCTGTGGTCAGAAGAACTCTAGTTCTGGCCCAGGTTCAGCCTCTCATTGTATGACTATAGGCAAGTCACCGTGCTGTTCTATGCCATTTCCTCCTTAGTAAAATTAGGGTCTATTGGGTGTGATCTATTTCTTCAACCATTCGTTCAGTACACATTTATCTTCTAATGACACAGCCCTAGACATAGATGTTGAATCAAGAAGACCATAGAAGAACTGATGCATTTGAGTTGTGTTGGAGGAGAATACTAAAGGACCATGGACTACCAAAAGAACAAACCAATCTGTGTTGGAAGAGATACTTAGAAATACCAGAATGCTCCTTAGAAGCCATGATGGCCAGACTTCATGTCTCATACTTTGGACATATTGTCAGAAGGGACCAGTCCCTGGAGAAGGACATGATGCTTGGTAAAGTGGAAGGTCGAAGAAAAAGAGGAAAATTCCCAAAGAGATGAACTGGTACAGTGGGAGCAGTAATGGGCACAAATGTAGCAACCATTGTGAGGTTGGTGCAGGACCAGGCAGTGTTCCATTCTGTTGTGCATAGGGTCACTATCAGTTCGTAACTACTCTATGGCACCTAGCAACAACAACAATAACAGACATAGATGTAGTAAAAGAGAACATGACAGCTGAGGCCTCTATCCCCATTCAACCGCATGCCCTTGCAGCAAGACAGATGATAAATGAAATAAATACATAAACAAGGTAATTGTTGATAGAACTCTGAAAGGTACTGAAGACATCAAATGACAATGGATGGAAGATTTCAAATGGGGAGACAGGAATCCTAATATCCCTTCCACTGACTACCCATCTGCCTTGTGACAGCAACTCCTGTGGACCAGAGCCTTACAAAAACTGCAAGTAGTGAGGCTTGGTCCTTCTCAAATTGGGGAACCTCCCTTGCTGAGGAATCATGTGGAAACTTGAAGCCGTAATAGGGAGCAGAGCCTTCCTTCCTGGGGTCTTGGGGAACCTCCCAGGCCTTTCAAATCTCAATGAAATTTCTAGACTGCAAAGTCAGACTAAGTGGGTAGTCATTATTACGGAATATCATACCAAAGCCACCATCAATCAATTGCCTTCTGTCAGCCTTACATTTTCAGCTTCTTTGCAGCCATTCATTTCTTTTCGTATTTTCCCCACTCCCAGTCATCACACAGCTATACTTCTGATTATTCTTCTCTTGACAGTTACAATATTCCTTCCCTGCTGAATCTCAGGCTTTTGATTTTCTGCCCTGTGTCCTAACCTTGTTATATTAGCTGGGTTCATATTCTCTTTCCTTCTAGCTGCAGGGGCTCCCACCACAGGCCTAGCTGCCACTTCATTAGTAAGCTGTTTACATGACTTCCAGGCCATTAATACTGATAGTAAATGAGAGAAGAGCCAGCCCCAGCCCCCCTCAGACCCCCCGCAGACACCTCCCTGGTGGATAATTACTATTTATGGTGCGGTTCTGTTTATCGTCTTTTCACCAATTTCAACCCTGTTGTTCTCTAAACTGATTTGAACAGATTTTTCAAGGGGATTTCTCAAGAGGTTGGTATCTACTCTGAGGCTTAATAATGCCAAAGTCTAGGAAAACTTACTCTGTTGGTGGAATTTATTTCCAAGGCAGGAAGAAGTTGTGTCTCAGGATAAGTTAAATCTCTTCCAGATGTCATGCCCTGTGACTTGTTGTTGTTGTTAAGTGCCGTCGAGTCG